GCCCGTGCTCGCCGAGCTGCCCGCCACCGCCGCCTCGGGCCGCCCCGCCCCGCCCGGCCGCCTGCCGGGCAGCCCTCGGGAAAACTCCTTTAGCACAGCCGAACCTCTCCGCAAATGCGTTTTTCCACCTCTAGAGGAACCTCCCCGGCTCACAGGAGCACTGGCAGGACCACGTTTTTTCCCCTCCAACCCCCAAAGCGGTATAAATGCGCCTATGAAATAATATGTGTATGTAGTACAAAGAGCTCCTGTCCTCGGGTTTGTAGATCATAACCAGAGATGGTAAAGTACTTAAAAGCACCCTTTAAGTGACCGGTGCTGCCTTCATATTTCCCAGCCCAAGGGAAAGCCATCCGCACCAAAAATACTTTTTTTAACCGTAGGGAACCAGGAGTTCATTTAGATTTACAAATTAATGAAGGCTTACTGTAGAAAGTAACTGTAGGTACGTGCATTAAAATGCAACAGAAAATTTCATCGATTTCCATGAGAGGTGGATTGTATCCAGGAAGAATGAGTCAACTTCATTCCTTGAGCAGAACTCACTGAACTAAGAGAATTACACCACACATGAATTTGGATCATTTCATTTCCCCTCATCCCATGTATTGCTGTCCACCTAATTTTCTCTTCAGTGTTATTTATGGGGTAGACAGAGCTACCTGGGAATTTTTCAGACACTTTTCATCGTCGGAAAATAATGGTTTGAGAACCCACATTTTTTTTGCAATGTTATTTACAAGTGACTATGTATCCTGACAGCTACGGAGTCAAACGCAAGATGACATGATCCAGTGCAGAAGAGCAAGTGGTCAGGGCACAAGGGATAGAGAGACCTCCACACACCAGAGAAACACCTATGTTCTGGGCTGTTAGTCCTCCTGCTTTTTCCCCCTCCTTTACCCACGTTTTTAGTGTTAAACCTCACAAGGTTTTCGTTTGGTCCTCATGGAGGAGATCAAAATTCAAGCCACTGAAATATTTCCTACCCCGCTCTATTCTTGCGCTACAGAGGACGGCAATCAACTTCAGAGGAAAGAGGATCATGTTTAAGTAAGCGAGAGGGAAGCCTTTCTCCAGTCACACATACACATTCGCTGTGGCAGCGGTGTTTTATTTTACAGCTGTAAGAATGACCTGCTTATTACTTTAACTGTGTGAGCCGGGGGGCTGAAGTCTCAGCACCTAGCGATGGCAGCAACGGAGGGACGAATCGCGATGCACTGCCCGCGTTCCAGTCTCGGCGCTCCGAAACCTGAGGTTTCGCAGACCCCTCAGACTCCGACTTCTGCTAACTCACGAAGAGCAAACATCTACAAGCAAGATTTCACTGGGCTTTTCGACATTTCATGCATAGTTTTTACTTCACAAATTGTCTACAGGAGAACTGTTTGCAATCCCACCGGGAACAGTGTTTGGCAGTTTTGTTATTAAGAGCAGTGAGGCATAGCTAGTGATAAGCAAATTGAGGAACAGTTTAGGAAAAGAAAAAAAAAGGAAGAAATCGAGCTCAGTTTTAAAAGTGGTTAGAAAATGAAATGCAAACATATACATAAACATTCAATGGGTTCTCTGAATATAAACGCCCCTCTCCCTTATGACTGCCATTTTCCAACCAGCTTTCCAACCAGTGCAGGCTTTGCACTTCTGTACCTACAACTGTACCATTTATAAGCCATTAGCCCACCCTTGCCCATATTCTTGTTCCTACAGTGACTCATATTCCCCCGAGTTTATTCCTGTGAAGACTCGTGTTAAAACAGAGGAAAGAGCAGGACCTTTGGGGCAGAAACGCTGCATTTTGGATAGTACTAGACACATTCACCATGCCCTGTCAAAAATGAAAGTGCTCATTTACATCCTGTGTAGGAAATGGGCTTTTTACAATTGGCAGAGCATTAAAATAAAAATTAATTTGATACTCGAGTCAAATAACACTGCTGAATAATAGCGTTTGCTCAATACCTAAAAAATAGTCTTCCTAGAGGAATATACTCAGGGAAGAAACAAACTCTCATAAATTATCCAGCTAAGGCATGGGAGATTAACTTTACTTTCATTCTATTGATTGGAAGCTCCTCCAATCAAACTTCCCTGAAAAAGCTTACCACACCTTACTGGCAGCATTTGCTGAATGCAAGAAGAAATTAAATACCTATCAGTTTATCTCTGAATGGTAACTCCCAAGAAACACACTGCAAACAAACCTGTGTCCCCTAGTCTGCATGTTGCAGATCCCTGGGTTCTGCAGGGCAATTTATTCTCTACCTGCACCGTTAAAAAGCAACACGGGACCTAGCTGCCCAAGAGCTCAAACTGCCACAGCTCAGCACCCACGCAGCCCGGGGTGTGCAAGGAGCACGCATTCAAGCCCTTCACTTCA